TCCTGAAAATTGAGGAATATTGAGATCGGGTAATTTAACGCCAACTAAGTTTCTAGCCACAAGAATTGGCTGCTGAGTAGAACTACTAGAAATAGTTGTAAGGGAATCTATTCTTTCTTTGAATCGTGCCAAAATTGTGAAATATTTGCATTCCATTGCATCTCTATCAGAAAGTTGATCTAAATCGATAGTTTCAATTTTTGCTAAAGAGTTGATAGTTTTGGTTAATAGTTCGTCTCTAACTTTAAATTCTTTTATATTATTTATAATATCTTTATTAAAATTAAACCAATTTTCAATTCGCGTGAGCGTGGCTTTACACGTTGACCTTTGCTTAACCAAACCTTCCATGTTGCTAAAGAAATACTATAAACCTAAATAATCAAAATATTTACAGTCTATTTAGAATCTTCGGGAATATTGAATTTAAAGTTACAAGATCTGACCTTATATCCACGGTTTTTACTTATTTCTCATTTAAAAGAGGGATCTTCAATATGAGACGGGATTATTCACTTGAAGTGGGATTGCGCTTTCATTCGGGGCAAAATTTTCAGAAGGGGGCTTTTTCTCCTGCTGGTACAAACTTCATATCCGGACTCGAACTAGGACCAAATGAACGGGTGGCACTCGCCTTTCCTCGCATACTTGGGGTTTAGCGACAGTAGCATAAGTTGAGTTAGTTGTTTCTTAATAAAAAAACGAAGGACTAGGATTTCTTCCAAAGATATATTTACAAACGTGAACAAATCAACAGAACTTGAGAGTTTAATACATATGCTTAAAAATGCAATGGAGTGCGTGAAATTACTTTTTACTAGATGTTATGTTTCAATGACTTTTTTTGACATCTTTTTTCCTACTATGTTTTTTTTATTATACAGGGTGGCTCACGCTCAACGGGACGGAGCTTCATGGGAAAACGACCAAAGATATAAAAGAGATAAAAAATTTGGGAGGAATAAGTAGGTTACAGACGGCTACAATTTAAAATTTGTTAGATGTATACAGGATGTCCCACATAAGAGAAAATATACAAAGTTATATTATTTTTAATGGAACACCCTGTTTTTTATTTTAGAATTAAAACTACATCAAAAATAATGTCAGTTAACTAAAGGTTCCCTATTACTATTATTATTAGTTTTCGATTTATTTGAATTTTTAAGGAAAAAAGTCTCCCAGAAATTAATTGTTTACTCTTGTTTAAATAATTTTTAATGAACTAATTTTTTTTTCTTATGTGGGACATCCTGTATACATCTAACAAATTTTAAATTGTAGCCGTCTGTAACCTACGTATTCCTCCCAAACGAATTTTTTATATCTTTGGTCGTTTTCCCATAAAGCTCCGTCCCGTTGAGCGTGAGCCACCCTGTATAAAGTGTAACCTAGTAAACCGTAAGGAGTCTATAAGGGAATACAATAAATATTAACTAAAACTAAGTATTTGGGATCAAACAGGCCTCATTAGGCCCATTGTGCATCCTCCTAAGATGATAGGCACCTCCTAGCTCGTGAGCCAGCCTACAGATTTTATGTAGTTGACAACGTCGCCAAGAGGTGCTTTTCTGATATCGGCCGGTGTTAGCCGATACTCGCCGAACACAAATCTTCAAATAAATGAGAGAGTCGGGCAATCGTAAAGAATATGCTCGATGGTCTCATCTTCTTGTTTGCATCCTCTGCAGAGTGCGGATTCTGACAGCCCCATGACATGGAGATGCTTTCGTACTTGGCAATGGCCAGTCAGAATGCCTGTGACTAGAAGAACATTTACCCGCGTCCTTTTTTGTTTAAATATTTCTTTAAGTATTGTTAGGATGTTCTACCCGACATAATATGACTAAGGCAGTTGTGTTCTGGGTAAAATATATTTAATTTAGTAAACAAACGACTTAGGCAGTTCGACCCATCAAAATAATGTGCAATTTTAAATGGAATGGTGACATTAGCTTATTTTCCCAAAAAATTTACTCAAGCACTTTTTCTTCAGAGCCATACATTTAGCAGACATATTTTCATAAAAATATTTATTCTATTGAATAATAGTCGGCATTGTTTAATAAAAACAACTGAAAATAAAAACCGAACTACTTTAAGGTATCACCAATTGGAATGTTTTGCAGGTAATCTCGGAAACAAGATGAGATAAGAAAATGTTTAAAATCTTACGACTTATTTTCTTTTTTGTTAAACTAAAGATGATTCTATCAAATCTTCACCAAGATGTTTTGTTTACGAAAATCAGGGGATTTTTAAAAATAAAACTACAAGGTTTTATAACTTCTTTATTAAGAATCTTATTAAAAACATAAAAGAGATTATTTCAATGTACAGTTAAGTAACGTGCATTGTTTTTTAAATAGGGTGTATGTTTGACTTTTTTTGTTTCAATTTTTTCAATGCATAGGTCAGGAACCTTTTGGCACCCATTAAAGTATAATATTTTATATTTCTTACTAACTTTCCACGAATGCAGACTGGCTGAAGACAACTTATTTATAATATACTCTAATAATGTAGTTAAAACCAATTTTTAAAAGTTTAAAAGTTACGTATTGACTTCTTTTTTAATACAGTGAAACCTGTGTAAAACGGAATCGCACGGTCGTGCACCGATTTTCCGGCATATACAGGATTCCGCGTTACACAGGGTAGATAAAAAATTGCACATAGTAGATTTAAAAAAGTGATGATTTTATTAAAAAAAAATCTAATATACGTACATTTAATATATAGTTGTTATTATTACTATGTACCTACATATTTTTATTTATTATTAGAAACAATATAAATTATTATTTATTCCACATTTCTATCAATGTAAGTTGTTTTTATTCTTTTGTAATACGTAAGATGATTCCATGAATGTCCTTAATTCTAAAATCTTCTTTCTCATCGGTTCGCTCTCTATTCTTTGGGAAAAATCCTCTAACGCTGCAACACTCCTCAAAGCTTCAGAAAATTTTTTTATCCGATCGGATTCTTCAACTTCTGTTCCTGTAGATAAAAATAATAATTTAAGAACAGATCGTTTTGAAAAGCTAATGGGAAAATAATTTTTTCTATCTGTTATTTTTGTGATGGTAACTGAAATCTTCCTATCTTATTTTTATTATGTATTTTAACTTTATTTCTACTTGGCCAAATGCCCAATTAAGATGGAAAGAATAAATAAAAAGTTGTTTATTTTTTTAGAGAATTAGAAAAATCGCTTACCAATTCCAATCCCATCATTATCGTCTGCCACAGTAGTTTCCACGGCAGTTTTTTCTAACACCAGTTCTTCTATGGACTGAAATCCAGCATTTGTTGTAACGGCTTCATCTAATGTGATGTAATTATGAACATTACAACCGGGATTAATTTCAGTAATTAACTCTTCGACTTCTTTTGTACTTTCGTCAATTTCGTCAACATTTTCGATTAGGTCAACGTCTCCATCTTGCTTGATTCCACATGCCGCAAAACATTTTTTAACACAATCAGGTTTAATATTTTTTACTGAATAATCAATACATCTGATAGCATCCAAAACTGATATTTTTTTAGCCAAATCTCCTGCTGATTGAGAAAATCTCATATTCGTAATAATTTACCGCAGCACTTGTTTTCTGTAATGCATTTTGAAGTTTTGTATAACTCCATGATCGAGAGGCTGTGTTTGACTTGTGGTGTTTGGTGGTAGAAAACACAATTTTATATTGGATAGTATTATTTTGGGGTGACACGTTGCATTATCCAAAAATAGAAGGATGTGTCGATTTTCAAATTTCATTTTTGGATTTAAAATTTTTAGCCACTGTTCCATAAGAACTGATGTCATCCATGCTTTTTTATTTGCTCGCCAATAAACTGGTAGCTGAGGCACATTGGTATTGTTAAAACATCGCGGTCTGAGGGATTTTCCAATAACTAGAGGTTTTTCTATTTTTCCGTCAGCAAAGGCGCAAAACAAAACGGTTAACCTTTCTTTAGATTGTTTGCCTCCTTGACATTTTTCACCTTTAAAGCACATTGTCTTGTCCGGCAGCGCTCTATAAAAAAGGCCAGTTTCGTCACAATTAGCAATGTCTTTTAGGGTATATCCTTTAATTAAATCTGTAATGTGCGATGTCCATTCAGTCACAGATTCCATGTCGACGTCCTTAGCTTCACCGCAGATCTGATTAAATCTTATGTTATGTCGTGTTCGAAAACTTTCTAGCCATCCATTCGAAGCTTTAAAATCTACTTTTCCAAAATGGTTTGCAATTTCTCTTGCTTTTTCTTGAATAATTGTTCCAGATACAGGAAGATTGCGAGACCTTGCATCCATAAACCATTCCAAAACTGTTGAATTTACGTCGTCGTGATGTGATTCCTTTGGCTTTCTCTTAATATCGCCATTACCACCACGCATCCACTCTTCTTTAATTTTTTCCTTGTTTTTCAAAATTTCATACACTTGCGTTTTTCCGCACTTAAATTGAATAACCAATTGATTTGGAGTAAGTTTTTTTTGGTCACTATATTTAATTAAGTCCATTTTAGATTTTAGCGATAATGCATTCGTTTTTCGGTTTGCCATTTTGAAATGTTTGCACTTTCACGGATAAACTCAAACTGCCGTACCTACACAATACTGGTTTATTTGTGTATTTACTGCTTTTGTATCTAAATTTCTGTGATAATGGTTCTAAGTATTGATAATAGTTCGCCCTTATTATGGGGCTTTTCGAAATCATAAACTAATTATGTAAACATCTATAAATTCTTTTACACCTGCAAAGCAATAACATAAGTAGGTTCCGGCTTAACAGATTAGGGAAATTCCGTGTTCGCGTTAGACAGGGTTCCGGCTTATAAGCAATTTTTACATTACAATATGTAGGTAATCGCCAAAATTTCCGTCATACACAGGATTCCGTGTTACACAGGTTCCGGCTTACTCAGGTTTCACTGTATTTGTTTTCTTTATTGTTACAGTTCTTCTGACAGGAGCGTAGAAAGCCTAGCAGACTCCCATTCATCGCTTCTCAGCTCCGAGCTGTCACCTTGGCAGTTTAAAAGACGCAGAGCATCAACTTTTCATGAAGGTGACACCAAGGACGAATACCCGTCACCGAGATGGCGCAAGCGCAGAGCGAGTTACCAAGAGTCAAACGATCTGAATTTTTCAATTAAAGAAAGCAAAAACGAAGCAACAGAAAACGAGTACCCGCTCCCACCTCCTTGCACGTGTCCATATTTCGGAGATAAACCCGAAAAATCTCCGACACCAGCTGAATTAAAGATATTACCCAGTGATTCTTCGAGAACTTCACCGAAATTATTGGATAGCGATAACATTCAGCTGTTAAATGTATCGCCTGTAAAGAAATCTTCTTTGGCAAGAAGTAGAGGAAGCAGTGGTGAATCGTCCCCTAATAATGTGATGGTTACTTGGGAGTCACGAAGAAGTCAACGAAGAGGTTAGTAACAAAACAATATTTTAAAGGTATATTTTTCTTGGTTAATTTAAATGCGATAGATATGCTGTTTCATAAGGAATGGTTAATATTTTCATCCTAGATTCAAGATCTCAAAATAATAATAATTCACTGCCGAACATTTTAAAACTTTTTTCTCCTCCCTGGATTGATTTTGGCTGGATTTTATAGATTTTGGCCTGCTGAATCCGGATCTGGCCTCAGATTTTCGATATCAGCCTCCAATGATAAGGGAGGGACATATGCTTTAATATTAAGAAAAAGTCAATAAAAACCCCTTTCAATGCCGATTTATTGAATTTAAACAATTAAAAACCTATAATATATTTTATTAACAGTTATCTTAGGTACAGTATAAACATTTATAAATAATTTAAAATTTATTATATACTTCCATAAGTCGTTCTCTTATAAGAACTCCTGGATGTGTCTCGTATTAGGGTCCAGCAATAGTCGGCTAACATATTCGGGCTGCACTTTCCTGTATGCCTTTTCTCTATGGAGGCAATATCCTTGTGAAATCGTTCTCCATGCTCATCTGATACTACTCCTAAATTTTCTGGAAAAAAAGTCCAAATCAGAATGAAGAAAGTGAAGTTTTAGTGACTTGTTGCATTCTAAAATATGAATAGTTCTTCCACGAGTTCACGATAATTTTCTGATTTATTATTTCTAAGAAAATTGTTGCAAACACTTTCAAATGCACTCCATGCCCGATTTTCATTGTCACTTAAAATTTGCCTGAAGTTCGCATCTTTGAACAATGGCCTAATTTGGGGACCTACAAAAATTCCTTTTTTAATTTTGGCCTCACTTATACGTGGAAATTTGTCTTTTCTTTCTGAGCTAATGGTTCTCAGAATCTATGGAATCTATGAATAGTCTCCATTTATCGGGAGTATATGGTAAGTTCAGTTCGGTCATTAGGCCAGGTATGTCATGGCAAAATACTAAATCACCTTCCACTACAAAAAAATTTGTGAGAGTAGATTGACTTTTCCTGTAGACAACTTCGCTCCTTCCAAGAGCTTCCACTGCTGCAGGCGGGATCCGAGAAGTTCAGCTTTTGTTTTCGGGAGGTCCAAGTCACGAACAAGGTCATTTAATTCACCTTGAGTGATTAAATGGGGTGTATCAGGCAAATCATGAGAACTTCTGGTGAAATACTTTCGGAGTCTGATTCGGAATTAAGCGTGTAACTCTGAGGTGTCTGGGGAATGGGTAATGAGTTGTTATGGGGCACTGGTCGCATTGCAGAAGGAATATTGGGGTACTGAATGCTACGCTTGGTTTTGTTAGTAATTCCTTTAATATTCGTCATGCAAAGATAACAATCTACGTGATTACGAGGTTCCCTCCAAACCATTGCAACTGCGAATGGCATAGATTTATGAGTACCTTTCACCCATCCAGTCAATGTTCTCGAGCACGAACTGCAACACATTTTTGGGGCCCAGGACCTATCTTGATCGCCAACTTTGCATCCAAAGTACAGTTCATAAGCCTTTTTTACTAATGAAGATATCGGTTTTTGGTACGCTTTCGCGGTAACTTCGCCACAAATATAACAGAAGCTATCGGCTTTATTAACGCAAACGCACATCGACATTTTTGGTACCGTTTTAACATGCACGTAGATCTAAGCAAACATATGAATAGATGTTTACTAAATGATTTTCTGGTAACGACTTAAGGAATATTTCACGCATAGATCCAACTACCTGCAAATAACAATGGGGCGACCGTTTATTACCTATTAATGGGCCTATTCGACCCTTCCAAAAAATCTGAGGCCAATATAAACATTTGAGGGTCAGTTGTATATTAGTTTAAGTCCAAATGTTACAAAATACACGATATTTTTATAAAGAGAATTTGTTAAATAAAACTGGATCAAATGTTATTTACTATCAACTATGTGAGGCACTTTGAATGCAAACTTGTATACTAATAAACTATTAATATTGTATATTATTTTTAATTGTCTTGCTGGTAGAAATAAATAATTTTGAATATGCTCAATGTCTTATAATATTGCAAGGGAACATGTAAAATTAATTATGCGTACGGGTGAATTCTCAGTTTATAATTCTTGGAATATTTTATTACCGATATGAATTTAAACAAATGCACAATCTGTTTTTAATTTATTAAAAATAAACAATTTAAATAAAAATTAAAACAGGAAATAAAACTCACTAAAACAATTAAATAAAGTACAGTAGATTTAAATTCACATAATTGCCAGAAAAAAAAAACGCATTCGATAATAGTAGTTGTACTCTCTTTGTATTTAATGTTAAGAGAAGCAATCTCAAATATAAACTATTAGAGATAATGCGGACTATATATCTTAAAAATCCATAGGTCGGTGTTTATTTTCTTTATTTCAGTGAAATCTTACGCGCTCTAGTTTTTCAACAACATTTATTTACAACAACTTAACTAATCGCCATTGGCTCGAACAAAACTTTAACAAAAAAAATGACAGGTAAAACGAGTCTTAGAAATTTTATATTTTTTAATAAATTCCACTCGCGATCACCAGCACTACGTTTTACACTTTTACAGTATTAATTTATCTATTTTACAGTATTAATTTATCTGTTTTACAGTGAATCAGAGAGAGCGTTTTTCACAGTAGAGATCGTACCCCTTTTCTTCAAAGGACTCAGTTGAGTGTGTGAGGAAAAACATGGAGTGAGCCGGGAAAGAAACCCCTTCTTCTTCTTATGATTTTAAGTACCAACTTGAAAAAATAAAGATTACTATTAAAAATAGACAAAAAGGCTGTAAAGTAGAGTACGATTCAACTAAGAAAAAGCCACACACATCATACCTGACAAAGGCCGCAATAATTTGCCTCTCTCTCAGGTCCATCCCATTTAAGCGTCAGTGGCGTTTTGGCGATTTTTTTCGTTTTTCTAATATAGAGATACAATTGCTTAATAATTTGGCAACGCTGTACGACTGCCGCATGGTCCAGAATATAATTCGAACAGAAGCTGTCGCGTAAACATGGATCCCTTATTATTTTGAGCCAAACTTCGGCGTTGCCAAACTTTTTTTACGAACAAAAATACGGGGTTCATCGGAAGAAAGTGAAGACAGCGAGAGTACTATACTCTGTTTTTAAACTAGGAGAAGCGAATTGAAAAGACGCATTTACACAGGAAAAAGTAACTAGATTTGTTACTAAGAGCGAGTTTCGAAATATAGTCGTGTTCAAAATTTATGAAATAATTATCTTTATCGGCCTTAGTCGGTGAACGGCCAATGAGCGGGTAAGAAACGAATAAATATCATAGAAGTAATTTTTTAATTGGTCTCAAACAACGGTAGCAAATTTCACATTATTGTGATCTGAAATGTGTGTCTAAAACGAAATGTCACTGTCAAATTAAAGTCAATATGGTTGTTGATTGATGTCAGAAATAATTTTTTCTTGCTTTTGAAATCGACTTTTTGAGAATAACTATGATCTTTTTAAAATGGATATTAAATATTTAAGAAAATTGATAATGGAATATCCAGATGTAGCCAGGTTAGTATAAAATATAAAGATCTGTTTACATTTTTAAGGTCTTTACAAAAACATTCCACATATTCCTTAGACCAAAATAAGTCAATTTAAGTAAAATTACCTTCGTACAAAGTTGCTTCGTTTGGGCTCCAGAGGGCCTTGAAGTTACAATTTGTAAATCGTTTTTCCCATATAAATTTAAAACGGCATAAGCGATTTTGCTGAAATTTGGTATATTGTTAGAGTTTTATGTGGCAAAAAAAAGGTATTAAAATTTTGTCCAATAATAAAACAGAGGCGTAGAACTTGATTTTTTAAATAATTGCATCTTTAAAAATTCTACGCCAATGGAAGAAAAGGAGTTTGAGAATGAAATTTAGATTGCGCAACTCATTTACTTTAAAAAAAGGTACTCTTGATAAGACTCGATTACTCTCATGGTTTTCGCTAAATTTCTGTTTTAATAATTTAGAGTGTATAGGTTTCACAAAAATATTTATTTACAACATAATCAAAATAGAGATTTTACAAAAATTGTTCAAAATGTTCACCATTTTCACGCATACAAAGATTTATACGTCAAAGAAAATTAAAATGTATCCTTTCCATAACTTCTTCATCACCTCTTAGATTGTTTATTGCATCTTGAATACGTTGCCAGAGTTGTTCCTTATTTTCTACAGGTTCCCTGTAAACTGTAGATTTCAGATGTCCCCATAAAAAGTAATCCATCTGTGTTAGGTCTGGGGAACGTGGTGGCCAGTTTACAGGTGCGTCATTACCTCTGCATATCCATTTGTGTGGACTGTGAGCAATATTGCCAGTGTTGTATCAGTGGCAGATATATGCTTATCTATACAGATAGCAGATGAGCACTACCCACCCTGGACAGACCACGTATTTACTTAGGGTTAGTAATAAAATGACTCCAAGTAAACGACGAACTTCTGTTACAGTCTTTGGTACAGGGATATTAACAATTGCGTTAACTTTGTCTGGGTCAACTAATAAACCAGCAGAGTTTAGTACATACCCTAGATACTTTAACACTGGCTTGCAAAATTTACATTTGTCTCTATTTAGGGTTAATCCGGCAACAGTTATTCGATCTAAGACCTTTTGTAAAACCTCTACATGTTTTTCAAACGAAGATGTGCAAATTATTACATCATTCAAATAAATAAAAACGAAATTTTCTAAGTCGTAACCGAGAACTCTCTTAACAAAACGTTGCCATGTAGCTTGGGCGTTGGGAAGGCCGACAGGCATCCTTTTGAATTCAAACAGCCCTCTAGTGGGAACAACAAATGCAGTTAGAGGTTGTGAGGACTTGGCTACAGGTACCTGCCAATATGCAGATTTAATATCTAAAGTAGTCAAGTACCGTGCATCCCTTAGCTTATCAAGTGTCGTACTTACGAAGGGTAGAGAATAAGCGTCCCGTTCACTTACCTCGTTC